TCAAAAGAACCAGATTTTTTCATTCGAGGAATCCGTTTATTACCGGAAAAGTGGGAGAAAGTTGTCGCTTCCGAAGGAGCATACTTTGAATAAACTCACTTATATAGATTTGTTTAAATAAACACATCATTTTCTTTTCAAAAGGGCGGAAACTTATTCCCATATCCAATATGATAATATAGGTTTATTTGCGTCATATGTTCCAATATATCTGAACATGTTCCAACATGCTCCGACCATAGCTCCTACTTACTCCAATACGCTTGTTAGAGTTAGGAGGGACTATGGTACGATCATGTTGAAGCATTTTGGAGCATGCGAGGCGAACAAACTTTATATTTGATATTCAGATTGGAGTAAGTAGGAGCCATGGTCGGAGCATGTTGGAACATGTTCAGCTATATTGGAGCATACGACGCGAACAAAATTATATTATCATAAATATCTATTGCGCATTTGTTTATTTTTGCTTTTTGTTACATAATGATTACCTACCTCTCGCAAAAAATGCACGAAAATTCGTAAAGATTTAGAGCCCTTTACGGGGCACGGCCGGCACAGGCACCTAACGGCTAACGATTTCAGATACGTCCGTGAAAGCTGCTGACACGTGACTGTGACGTCAGCTTACGCATGCGCATAAACATTCCCATGCGAGAATAATTCCCACAAAGCTCATCACTGCCCAGAATTCGCGTGGTCGAGCAAAGTCGCGCCGCACAGACGCTTGTTGTAATCGTGCTGCAGTTTCACCATGCTGGCGTTGCGTGTCGGGAGGCTGGTGGTACAGCGGGTACGGGTTCTTAACGGTTGAGAAGGGCGTTTGACACCGTCGGAAGTTACCGAGGGGCTCGTGCTGTAGCGTATGACCGGCGTGCGGCGCTAGAAGTAAGTTAGCGGCTCTCTGTGCGAGTACCGAGAGTATCGAATAGAGCGGAGGAGCGAAGCTCCGGAAAGTACTTGTAATTACGTCACCGTTATAATTAGTCCTACTTTATCATATTTCTTTAAATATAATTGTTCTTATTACGCTCTCGCGTAGTTTATTTTTGTGGCCTATTTCTCTCGCCCTTCGACAAATTTCCCACACTTCTTGCGACCCACCCCCTGCCGTCGCGAATCGGTTACGGGCAAAAGTGAGGAGATTTCGAAAAGAGTGGCACGCTCTCCCGTGCCTGGCGCCCAACTTAGTAATAAAAATTACAATCTTGGCCGAAAACCCGCCTAGCTGTCGCAAAATTCAGTTACCGAAGGAAAGGAGATACTTTTGCGTACGAAGAGTATGAAGAACACGCGATGAAGTTGTGCTGTTGCTCGCGAGTACGATTACAATACATATAGATGGCCATAGCTGTAAATGCAGTTGCCGTCAGACCGCGTCATTGACGCCATTTCCATTTTCTGACAACTGACAAAGATTTTCAATTCACAACAATACAAGTTTCATACAACAGTATAGTTTGTAATAGCGTTGAACATATCGAATTTTGTGCCTGGAAACTATGA